GAAAGGTGTGGGCTGTGGCGGGGGTAGAGCGTGGGCGGGGAGGTAGTGGCCGTGGGCGTGGAGGCTGCCAGGGGCATACCCATCAGGCTCAGCGGCTCCTGCTCGCGGCTCGACACACCACCCTGCTGGAGGAGAGACAGCACCGTCAGGAACACCTTGACAACACTTACACACACACACACACACACACACACACACACACACACACACACACACACACACACTACCGCCAACACATGTGAATATTGATAACTTAATATCCAGCACCTTGAGTGACTCCCAGGAATGTTTATTACAAGTCTGATAGGTTTATTTATTACCCTTTAACGTACACAAAGTAAAAGTGAACAAGTAGTAGTCGTGTGTGTGTGTGTGTGCGTGCGTGTGTGTGTGTGTGTGTGTGTGTGTGTGTGTGTGTGCGTGCGTCATTGTACACATATAAATCTCCGTATTCATATACATGGATATACTTAGGTGTATATACGCTTGTAATCATATACACATATAATATATAACCACGTGAGTGTATCAATCAAATCCAAAGATATTTTTTACCCCCAAGTGAGTTACACGAGACTAAGAGAAACAACCCAGGGTGATCACAGAGTCAGAGGTGCTTACGTGACTCATAACTACACACTAAATCCCTCACAGCTTTCATTAAGTACAACACACCTCTCTTCTTATTAGTTATGATTGTATACCTGATATAAATGACCTCACCTGGAATGATGACTTAAATTACAGGTATTTTAGGTAAAGTTTTGTGAGTCTGATGTTTTTTTTTTAACAATATATATAATTTTTGTCTAAGTCTTTGTTTATGGGTTTTTGTTATTATTAAAAGAGGGACGTGTTTATACTCGTAAATATATACAAGCATACACGCAGCCAGATCTACACACACACACACACACACACACACACACACACACACACACCCCTTAAGTTCTACGCTAATTGAATTTCCGTCAGCAACTAAGGTGGTGTGACGGCTGTTTACCTTCTAGTACTTTAACACAATTACGGTCAGGTTATGTGCGGCCTGGGTTAATTACCTCCGTTACCTTACTTTTCTACCTTTGATGTTAACAGTCGTCAAAGGTAGAAACGTCTTTGGGTCACGGGAAGGTTATGACCCCTTAGGATATTTAACCTGATCATGAAACACTCTGACCTAACTTAACCCAACCCAACCCAACGAACCTAACCGAACCGAACCGAACCGAACCCAACCGAACCCAACCCAACCCAACCGAACCCAACCCAACCTAACCGAACCCAACCTAATGTTCCAGGTAGCTTTAGGGTGTTTAATCATCAGGTGAAATAAACTGGGAACTAATCTTTTGGTGATCCTTAAAAATTAATGTGAGATAAGAAGCCGACAGACTCTTCTATGGGAGATAATCTTTGGTGTTGTACTGATGGGTGTTAGTGCTTGTGTCGGGGCTTTTATCATCAGAGGAAAAATTTATAATAAAAATGACATGTTGAGAAAACTGTGTTGATAACTTTCCTCTTTATCTGTGTGTGTGTGTATGTGTGAGTGTGTGCGTGTACGTGTGCGTGTGTGTGTGTATAACTATTGCGACTCGGGTTCGATGCCTTCCTGGGTCAGGTGTGAGAAGTAGGTATGTCCAGTCGGGTACTTGTGCTTCCTCCTCTAGTAACACTGTAATACCCTCACTAGACCCACGGAGTATGACCTTCACTAGACCCACGGAGTATGACCTTCACTAGACCCACGGAGTATGACCTTCACTAGACCCACGGAGTATGACCTTCACTAGACCCACGGAGTATGACCCTCACTAGACCCACGGAGTATGACCTTCACTAGACCCACGGAGTATGACCCTCACTAGACCCACGGAGTATGACCTTCACTAGACCTCAAAGGTAACCAGTTAGTCATCATTCATAAGAGCTTTGTAGACTAATCTATTACTGTCAATACATCAATATGTCTGGAAGTTGCATTTACCTTCAAGTGTATACCTGGATATTGGATATGTGTACACAAACACCTACACACACACACACACACACACACACACAAACACACACACACACACTTAATGCTACTACTTCTAACTACTACTTTGCTGTCACTCGGAATCAAGTATGACGATCATCCATCTATGATACAATAATATGAGTTATTGAAGATGTCACCTTCGTTGGTGAGCTCTGAGGCGATTGGAGAGGCCGATACGAGACCGGCACGGCCGTCCACAGATGTTGCACGTGAGGAGGGATACATCTAGTGCGGGAGGGGAGGTGGCAACATCTTTGCGGTGTTGGCGCTTGTCTGCCTCGGTATGCAGTCGGGCTAACTCGAAAGTAATGACACCTTCTCGTGTGGTGCTCCTCCAAGCGTTACGGTGTGGAGTAATCGTCTCCCAGGTGATGGGGTCGATTTGACACTTTTCTAGGTTTGTCTTAAAGACTATCCTTATTCCTTTCCAGTTTGCACGTACTCTACGAGCGCCTACATATACACCTATTGTTGACCCATACCCTATGTGTTGTTCCCTACTGTGTCATTGTGTGTGAGTGGCAAGAAGGTTATTGAAGACCCTTCCTGTTCATGTGTGCCTATGAACGACCCCCGCACAGTGGTGTGACATGCACGATCACCGTCGTCACTGTGGGCTCGGCTCGGAAGTTTTCCCCGACCTCCAATGGTACACACAAACCCACGCTACAGTGAGGTGTGCAACACGAGAGGGGCTCTGGTACGAATACCTGGGCATGACACCCACGCAGGTACCTCGGCCAGGGTAAGAAAGAAGAATTTAGGTAGAGGCACAGCCCTCAAACCACGTCAGGGCCACAAGTCTAAGCTGCCCTCCGCAGGTGTGTGGGTCACTCACACACCTGTTGGGAGAGCTGGCTACGGTTGACAGCCCTGAACGCTCGTGAAGTTGTCTAAATTATCTCAAAGAGCCCAAGCAAGCGGTGTTAAGGAGAGGAATGTAGACCGTCACCTAGTAAGTCTCGGTCGCAGTCAGTCGAGTCGGTTCTCTCCTCCTGCTGCTCACTCGTCGATGTCCAGTCTGAGTCTGTGGGTGTGACCAATCACGGTGGTCCACACACACACCACTCTACTGCTATACTCAGACGGCCAACTCTATATACACTCAACCAACGCCATCTTTTGAACAGATCTTTCCTTCCATTACATTTCATAAAGAACTCATTAAATTAGTTCTTCATAACAGGACCGTGTTAAAACAAGTACAAGTATACGGACACACGCTCCTTGTGTCCTTAACTTACGCACACACACACACACACACACACCTAACCTAACCTAACCTACCCACAATACCTGAGCTGGGTCAATTGCCGCCAGTATAATTAACCCCATACCTAAGTAGAACACAGGAGGGTGTTGTAGGTAGGTGGGTGTTGTAGATGAGTGGGTGTTCTTAGATGAGTGGGTGTTCTAGAAGAGTGGGTGTTCTAGATGAGTGAGTGTTCTAGATGAGTGGGTGTTCTAGATGAGTGAGTGTTCTAGATGAGTGGGGTGTTCTAGATGAGTGGGGCGTTCTAGATGGAGGAGTGTTCTAGATGAGTGGGTGTTCTAGGAGAGTGGGTGTTCTGAGGAGTGAGTGTTCTAGATGAGTGGGTGTTCTAGAAGGGTGGGTGTTCTAGATGAGTGGGGTGTTCTAGATGAGTGGGTGTTGTAGATGAGTGGGCAGGCCTGGATGAGTGGGTGTTCTAGATGAGTGGGTGTTCTAGAAGGAGTGGAGTGTTCTAGGATGAGGAGTTCTAGAAGAGTGGGTGTTCTAGATGAGTGAGTGTTCTAGATGAGTGGGTGTTCTAGATGGGGAAAGGATGGAACTAAGTATTCACCAACACAACGAAACCAAAATAGATGGAAGAACAAGACAACACCAACAACAACAACAGGCATCAGGTACCAACATACAGGTGAGTCAGGTTTGGAGGCGGCGGAGGTGAAGGTAATCTTTAGTCGACTCATCCCGTCTTTCCTCTCTTCCTACACCTTGAATAATAAACCAAACATACACAAACTCGCTGTCTCTAGTACACTGGGGGAGTATAATGCTGCGAACCTTTCAGAATCTGAGTATACTTTAACGTAATATAACCTGACTGAGTATAGTTTAACGTAATATAACCTGACTGAGTATACTTTAACGTAATATAACCTGACTGAGTATAGTTTAACGTAATATAACCTGACTGAGTATACTTTAACCTAATATAACCTGACTGAGTATACTTTAAACCTAATATAACCTGACTGAGTATACTTTAACGTAATATAACCTGACTGAGTATAGTTTAACGTAATATAACCTGACTGAGTATAGTTTAACGTAATACAACCTGACTGAGTATAGTTTAACGTAATATAACCTGACTGAGTATAGTTTAACGTAATATAACCTGACTGAGTATAGTTTAACGTAATATAACCTGACTGAGTATAGTTTAACGTAATATAACCTGACTGAGTATAGTTTAACGTAATATAACCTGACTGAGTATAGTTTAACGTAATATAACCTGACTGAGTATAGTTTAACGTAATATATAAATCGGGATTGAGCATAAGCGAACCTAATATAACCAGACTGGAGATAGTTTAACCCAATACAGACTAAGCATAGTTTAACGTAATAAGTAACCCGACTGAGTATGCTATTTTAACGTAATATAACCTGACTGAGTATACTTTAACCTAATATAACCTGACTGAGTATACTTTAACCTAATATAACCTGACTAAGTATAGTTTAACCTAACATAACCTGACTGAGTATACTTTAACCTAATATAACCTGACTGAGTATACTTTAACCTAATATAACCTGACTGAGTATACTTTAACGTAATATAACGTAACCAAATATAACTTAACCAGATATATCGTAACTAACCTAACCAAAAGCTAATCAAAGCTAACCAAAGCTAACCAAAGCTAACCAAACTTAACCTTGTACACGTGGAAGAGTTGCGTATTTATCACCGTCTCTCCTCGTTGCACTTTTTTGAGAATTTATTATTGACAGCTATTGCCTCACCCTGCTGTCCTCTCCAGCATTATTAACAACATTTTAACAGCATTTTAACAGCCGAGGGTCAT